TATTTTATATATATATATATATATATATATATATATATATATATATATATATACACAAGAATGAAACTGAGCTATAAAGGCAAATTAACAGATGTGATTAAAAATGATTTAATACTTTAATATCACTCTATTAAACATTTGCATTACATAAAAAGACAAAAAGTAGAGAAAAACCAAATAAAAATCTGAAATCAATAAATGGGAAAATCAGTCCTAAGTTAATTTCTTCTTCTTTTTGTCTTTGAACACCGGAGAGTTTAAGAATTTTGTATCAGAGTATTTGTCCCCACGCCTCATCTTGCTGTAAAAAAAATAAATAAATAAAATTAAGACAGAAATGCATTATATTTTATTGCATTACTTTAGACTGTGCTATATTATTTAAGCCCCTCCTTGAACCGTCACCTTAGCATGGTGGAGGAGTTTGAGTGCCTGAATGATCTCAGGAGCTATGTTGCCTGGGGCTATATACCCCTGGTACGATCACTCATGGCAAACAGATCCTGGGTGACAGATGAGACAAGGTGCGGATCAAAAGCCCCTTATGATGACAATTAAATCAAGGCTTTCGTTCACCCTGCCCGGTATGGGGTCACCGGGGCCCCACCCTGGAGCCAGGCCTGGGGGAGGGGGGCTCGCATGCGAGCGGCTGGTGGCCAGGTCTATGCCCACGGGGCCTGGCAGGGCTCAGCCCGAAACCATGATGTGGAGCCGCTCTTCGGTGGGCTCACCACCTGCCGGAGAGGCCGTAGGGGGCCGGTGCGTTGTGATTTGAGCGGTGGTTGGGGCCGAGTGCCTGGCCGACCCAAACCTCGGGTGCCAACTCTGGTTTTTGGGACTTGGAATGTCACCTCACTGGCAGGGAAGGAGCCTGAGCTGGAACAGGAGGTTGAGAGATACCGTCTAGATATAGTCGGGCTCACTTCCACTCACAGCTTGGGTTCTAGGACCACTCTTCTCAACCAAGGGTGGACTCTCCACTATTCTGGCATTGCCCAGGGTGAGAGGCGGCGAGCTGGTGTGGGCTTGTTAATAGCCCCCCAGTTTAGCCGCCATGTGTTGGAGTTCACCCCGGTGAATGAGAGGGTCGTTTCCCTGCGCCTTCGGGTCAGGGAACGGTCTCTCACTGTTGCTTGTGCTTATGTGCCTAACAGCAGTGCAGAGTACCCGGCCTTTTTAGAGTCCCTGGGGGGTGTGCTGGAAAGCGCTCCCACTGGGGACTCTGTCATTCTACTGGGGGACTTTAACGCCCACTTGGGCAGTGACAGTAACACCTGGAGGGGCGTGATTGGGAGGAACGGCCTCCCTGATCTGAACCCGATTGCTGAGTTGTTATTGGATTTCTGTGCTAGTCACGGTTTGTCCATAACGAACTCCATGTTCAAGCATAAGGGTGTCCATCAGTGCACGTGGCACCAGGACACCCTTGGTTGGAGGTCGATAATCGAATTTGTAGTCGTTTCTTCTGATCTTCGGCCATATGTCTTAGACACTCTGGTAAAGAGAAGGGCTGAGCTGTCAACTGATTACCACCTGGTGGTGAGTTGGATTCGATGGCGGGGGAGAGGGCTGGACAGACCTGGCAGGCCCAAACGCATAGTGAGGGTCTGTTGGGAACGTTTGGCAGAGGCCCCCATCAGAGAGGTCTTCAACTCCCAC